CCAACATCATAGCAGGCGTCCGACGGCATCCCTCCGGATGAAATTCGTCGCAGAGAGCAGCTCCCTTTTGGGTGGAACATTGTTCTATAAACTAATTACACGGCACCTATACGACTGTCCCCAAGGGCAACCACGTAGCCGTTTTTGAGACAAGGATAACTCTATCACTAACCAAACCAGTGGTAGCAGTTGACATCTGAGTCAGATGACCGCCTGTATTACTTGGGATAAATGCAGGGGGTACCTATTGAGTTAATAGCCAACAAACATTGGCGAATCAAGGGGACTAGCCGGCCTATGCTGCCTGGTACCTCTACTTCTCAAACATAAGTGGCGGCGACTGAGTAACTCCAACGTTAACTCATAGTCACTCCTTCAAACTTGGTATGGAACCTAAAAAGTTTGAGTTGTCCGCCTGTTTTAAACAAACAAGGGCACTCAAACCCCTATTCCTACTAGGTAACCTATTGAGTTAATAGCCAACAAACATTGGCAAACCAAGAGGATCAGCCGGCCTCCGTCGCCTGGTACCTCTACTACTCAATCTAGAGTGTGACGAAGACTAAGTAACTCTTATGTTAACTTAATAGTCACTCAAACTTAGTATGGAGCCTAAAAGGTATGAGTCGTCCGCCTGCTTTTAACAAACAGGGGCTCTCAACCACTACTCTTGCTAGGTTAACAAATTACGAGTTGAAAGCCAACATTGGCAATATAGGGAAACAACCGGTACCCGCCGCTTGTTAACCTACTTAATTCCTTGGCGACTGAATAAATGGTAATACTATTTACTCGGTCGGACCGATTGAATAAATGGCCGACTGATCGCCCAGCTTGGAAACAGACAACCAGTCGTCCAGGGGCATAGGCGGACCATCCGTACCTGTCTACAATCGGCCATGCAAAACAGTCGATATAGTGTACAATGCAATATCAAATATTCAACACTTAGACAAATTTCAAGCAAAAAATGACTTCATTAATGAAGATAAAAATATTCAGAACCCCGGCCCCCTGGTCGGGTAAATACAAAAGCAAACGGCACGCAGGCCGTGGAAAGAATACATTAAGCTTAAGAAGGGGGCAGTTCGGTATTAGCAGCTACCGCCTGGTCAGCACTCTTCTTGCTAGACTCGGCTTCAGCTGCATCCTCTTTTGATGCCTTACCCCCAAGTGGCACAAGCGCCACAACCGGCTCATCCTCAACCAAGGCTTCCTCCAACGCCTCGTCCTCAGCAGCCGCCAGGATCTCTTGATTATATATTTCAGAACACTGGCGGTACGTTTTTTCCCACGAGGCAAAGTCGGCACTGGGGAAGAGGCGGCTCCAGGTCATGCGCTGGATCTGGGAAAAGTCTTCAATCATCTCTCGGACGAGCTCTCTCTTCTCTTGCTCAGCCTTCTCCGTGAGCTCTCTTTTCTCTTGATCAGCCTTCTCCGAGAGCTCTTTGGTTAGACTCTTCTCCTGGGTCACCAGGCGTTCTTTTACGTTGGCCAAGGATTTTTCCATGGCATCGTATGAGAGTATCTTTTGGCGGAGAGGTTTAAGCTCGGCCTTGAGGTTGGAGACGGTCGCCTCCAGCTCGCTGTTCCGCTTCTGGGCCGCCTCTAACTGGGCCCGGATAGCGGCGGTAGCCTGCGCCTGATAATAAAGAATATCAATTGTCAGAACTTCATTTTGGGCAATTTGAAACATTGCCTTGTCACAGTTAGAGGCGGCCATAGCTTTTGCAGCCTTTACCTCTTTGTTTTTCCGATCAAGCGGCTTGCGAAGGCCGTTCACTCGGAGCAGGGCCTAAGTAAAAAGGGAACAGACGTCAGTTTCCAAACAAGATAACAGGCGTCCTGGAACTCAAATACAAACAATGCTAAGTATACCTCAGCAAGGACCCCTGCAATCCCATCAAGGTCAAGGGTGCCGACACCCCTGACCGCCTCCATTTCAGATGGAGGAACTGCTTTGATCATGGACTTGGCTACCTCTACCAAGTCAGGTTCCTGAGGGTCGGCTGCATCAAGCGTAAAAAAGCAAGTTAGACCTAGTCAAGAAGGAAGCAAGTGAAGGTTTTTACAAGTAATTGTCCATACTTCTAGGCGGCCCCGCCGGAGTTTTAGAAGAAGTGGTCGGCTGCTTTTCAGCCGCCACTGTTTTCCTGGAAGACCCAGGAGAGCTTGCAACAGTCGTCCTCCGGACCTTGGGGTCCGGCTGTTGCGAGGAAGAAGCTCTTGGAGTGCCCGACTAAAAAAAAAAAAAAAAAAAAAAAAAAAGTTAGTATATGCATAAGACAACAACTCCTAAAAGAGGAAGAGTTTCGAGGCCTACCAAGGGTGCCCCCTTGTTGGGGGAGTCGGTACAGGACTGTTTCATGAGAGAGGCCCGCAACATGGCCGCCGCAGTCTTGGATGCTGTTATTTTACTCATGGCGTCAGCTGCAAAAAAATAAACAGCAAAGTTAGTAAAAATCTCAAGTAAACAAGGCGTGAAAAACAGAGTATTTGTCAGGCCGGCTACCTCTAGAGCACCGACTGCTGAGGCCACAGGCGGCCAAAAAGTACTCGTCATAGAGCCACTTGAAGCTCGGGACGCAGTTCAGGGGTACTTGCTCTCGTACCCCTGAAGTAGAGTTCACCCTAGTCTCTACTTTGAAGAGTCCTTTGTCTAGGATCTCTTTTTTAGCCTTTGGGGGAACAGGTGGCATGCTGCGGCCGCCTGCGAGAAGAGGCGGATCCCTATTCCACTTGTTAAAGCGTTTGTTCAGCTCCGTGTCTGAACCCTCGATGATAAGGAAGGTGTTCCGCCAATCCTTCCATTTGTTCGCCTTACCTCTCGTCATGAGGTAACCCCTATGGCTTGTTAATTGATACCAGCCGGTACCGCCCGACTTAGGGGTCCGGCTGAGATAGTTCATGTGGGCGAAAGCCTCGAAGCTTGGCTCCACCCCGTACATTTCGCACCCGGCCACATAGCCGAGTACGTTTACCCAAGAGTTGGGGGCTAACTGCCATAACCCCAAATCATACCCATCTAAAATCCGCTGAACAGCCGGATGTAATGGGAAGCGCAGTCCAGCTTTGATGGCCGCCACATAGCAGCCAAAGCAGTCGTCATCATAGCTGGTACCAGCCGGCCAGACGACAGTGTCTTCTGGATCCGGCACGAACAGTAAATATTCCGGGCCCATTCTGTGGTTAGCAATAAAGCTCTCCACTTTGTCTTGCATGGTTGCGATCCGGCCCCGGGGTACCGTGCAGTAGTAGGGGGTGTTCTCCTCTCTGTGAGAGGCGGACGGCTCCGCCCAATTGTCCCCTTTCTCAACTGCATGAGAAAGCCTTGCCTCTTGTAGGCGACTGTTTCTTTCTTCTGAGCCTGGAGAACTGTGGCCAGAAGAGCTGGACTCGGACTCGTCCTCTGACGAGTCCGAAGAGGACGACTCCTCCCCTCTCCCAGAGGGGCCCGCCTCCTCTCCCTTAGAAGGAGCAGGAGGAAAATTAGACATATCAACGGTAAGATGGGAAGGGACCACCTTGGCCCCTCTCTCAGAACTGTCGGCTTGGCAGCCGCCTCGTTTCAATTCTACATCTGGCGCCTGGTCAGATGTTTCACTAAGGAGCACCCTTTGGGAGGAGCCGTCTGAGTTTGATATCATGGCAGTCTTTTTTGTTCTGGCCATCACGTTCTGCATAGACACAGATACAGTCGGACTTTGTATAAAGGGCAAAGATGGGTCCAGAAAAGGGCAGGCGGCACTCCTAGTCCTAGATTCAGCCGTCCCCGGTGACCGGCTGATCACTAACTTAGGTCGTGTCGTGTGCTTCCGTGGTGCCATTTCAAAAAATAAAAAGAAAATTAAGAGTAAGAGAACTGAGTTACCTGAACGAGTGACGGTTGATGAAGTTCTGGAAATCCGGGTCAGTCGGCTTGTCAGAACAGGCGGTAGGCAGAAAAGGTCCGAAATGTCAGAGCAAGTTCAGGGGTCCGAATGTTCTCGCAAAGTTCTCAAATGTGAAAATGACCGAAGTCAGCACTTCCTTATATAGGCAAAGTGAGAAGGCGAATGGTCGCTTTCAAATTCAAAATGTGGGCGGGAAAATCTCTCGGCCGTTTGCAAGGTGACACCTGTAGCAGGCCGTCGCCTGTCACCGTGCGACACCTGTCACAGGCGACACGTGACCAGTCACGTGCCACCTGTGAGGGGCAAATGATTAGGGGATTTTTATCCTCCAATCACCGTCTGACAAGTGGACCAACCAGGTTCCGCCACGTGTCCTTCACGTAGGCCAATAGGAGCCTGCCACGTGTCAATCACAGATACGTCCTCTGCGGACCAATTGAGACACGCCATGTGTCCACCCATGCCAAATGGGAAAACCGGCCACCAAGGCCCAATCCTGTTTAGAAGCCCGGTCAGCCCTAGGTTTACCCTAAACCTAGAGAGTGGCACGCTTCTCAAGACTATAAATACTCCTCTTAATCCTCATTAAGAGGAGAGAGAAAAAGACAGAGAACTCTAATAACACACGGATTATACATTAAACACTCTCACCTAGAGAGACTAAACCACTTTAATTTCCGCACTCATTACTCCTTAATCAGGTACTAACTTGACCGTTGGAGGCGGAGCTCTCAGGAGTCTCCGTTATTTTGCAGGTACAGGCGGCCGGTTCCAGTCTCGGTGTTGTAACTCTCCCGCAGGACATCAGAAAACCCCGAAACAAGTATGATCAACACAAACAGCTTATTTTTGACAATGTTTGTCTCAATGACTCAATGTAAGCAACTAATTTTCATAATGTATGAAGACTATGAACCAACACGAGCAACTAATTTTCACAATGTATCAACACGAACAACTAATTTTCACAATGAATGTACCAACACGAGCAACTAATTTTCACAATGTACGAACCAACACGAGCAACTAATTTTCACAATGTATGAACCAACACGAGCAGCTAATTTTCACAGTGTATACACGAGCAACTTATTCTCCTAATGTATGTCATCCATTCTGTTCACCGTCAAGAAAAACTGTATGAGGTGATACAAGGCTTTGAACATAGTTCACCGCTTTTATTTGATATCCAAAACCAAGAGGCCTCGCTTCAACTGGAGCTCCGCTGAAGTCAACAACTAGTAGCCAATGAAAATGGAACATCATAACCTCTCTAGCCTTGGTAAGTCCAAAAAAAATACCAATATTCAAGTCTCATATCTCCATAAAACAACCTTGTCCATGATTCCCTCACATTATATTCATTCATCATCCACATATCAACTTCATATCCACCTTTATAATAAGCCCAAGCACACAAGCGATCATTGATACAACCCAAACTAAAAGCAGAACGAACGATATCAGGTTCCCCAAAATTGGGATACGGCAATTTCATAAATTTGATGTTATTCCGATTAACCAAATCCAAGACAACAATGCGTTTGTGAATAATTGCTATAGAAACACCCCAATGTAAAGCTTGATTTACCAGTGTTCCACTATGTATATACCAAGCATCTTCAAATAAAATATGCAGATTCTCTCGCAATGTTTGCATTGTATCCCATTTTCTCGTCGAAGATTCAAACACAAGTACATATCCCATTTGAAAACTAATGGCAACAACGAAGAATTCTAGACTGTCATCGGTTGAAACACAACCAAACCCAAAACTATAATCCTTTGCAGCAAAATGATTACTCTCAAGAAAAACTCCTGGAGGTTGGCGAATCACAACATCATGATTAAGAACAGGATTACAAACCCGGTATTCAAATCCAAATTTTAGAAGATGACTTGGAGATGGTAATTGACCATTAAGAGCATGAGAACGAATCAACAAAACTAAACCGTTACAAGAACCGATCAAGAAAATGGGATTTGTAGTGGAATATCGACCAAAATTGATCATTTGAACATTCTGAGAATCTCCATAATCGACAGCAGTTAATGAAGTATTATGAGAAATTGAAAGAACAGACTTCGAGGAGATATAATTTGGGTGCCGAATATGCTTAATGATGAACTCGGAACTCGAGATTAACAACTTCCATTCTTTACAGACCCTTTTGAATCGGAGAAGTGAAATGGCGGGAAGACTTGGAAGGATTTTAGTCCATATGATGTCCGCCGGAATTTCTCTGTTCTGGGTTTCTCTGTTTTGGATTTCTCTGTTTTGGGTTTCTCTGTTCTGGGTTTCATTGTTCTGGGTTTCATTGTTCTGGATTTCACTGTTCTGGGTTTCTCTGTTCTGGGTTTCATTGTTCTGGGTTTCATTGTTCTGGGTTTCACTGTTCAAGGTGTCTCTGTTTTGGGTTTCAGTGTTCGGAATTTCTTTGATCTGGGTTTTTTCGTCGGCGTTTTCCGGCGGAGAAGACATGGAGTTGGGTGTTGGGGGTTTGATTTGCGGCGGCGATTTAGGCGGAGAGAGAAAATGGTAGTGGTTTTGGCGGCAACACTACATACAGTAAGAGATGCTCTGTTTGATTTAAATGTGAAAAATTACAGAAAACTGAGAAAATAAGACAACACTATTTATATATAGACAAGTTTGGGCCAAAACGAGGGAGCCCAGAAAAATTACAGAAAACACCTCTTGTAATTTACTCGTACTTTGTTTTAAATACACCTGTACCATGTTTAATTTTTTTTTTTTTTGTTTTTTGTTTTTTTTTTTTTTTTTTTTTAAGTTTTGTAATTTGAATATGGTATGGAATTATAGATTATACTTGTAACTTTTGACATTTAATAGAAGGAAAAATTAATGGGATTAATTCAAATTTTACTTCGTCGGTCCAAATTACACTGAATTTTATTTATTTATTTTTTTATTAACTTTATATTCAATCCACTTTAATTACCAGTGATCCAATTTGATATAGCAAGTTATCAAACACATGTCAGCACGTGATTGATCTAAAAAAAATAAAATACATAAATAAAACCCAAATGGTAGCAACCCCCATTACTGACAGGCGGGCATCTAAAAAAATACGATTACAAATTGGGGGGGGGGGAGGTAAAGGATCCTGATTGAACCTTAGCTAGACCCTGATATACCCATAGAATACGGGTAAGGGCCTAAAAATTTTATACCCTAAGAATCTGGGTAGAGTATATGTATTGGAAAAAAATATCGGGTACGAGTCCGGTTATTACTAGACCCTACCCATTGTCATACATACCTGCATACTTGACATGATGACTTGATAGAGATGTAACCAATGAGCTTTGATTGCGGGTATATTGCACTCAAACAATCATCCTAGTTGGATGCAGCACGGAATAAGAGGGGTGGCACGCTCGTCTTTTAGGGATTTTCGAGGACTTGAGTAATTGAGAACCATTCAGACTCCAATAATAAATGGAAACTGAGTCACTTGTGACTCCTCAAATGAGATTTCTGACAAAATTTCAACGAGGATATGTTGAATCTTCTAGCAAAACTTGCCTTTCCTAGTTTCCCAACCCCTTTAGTTGAAGAGGCTCTTATAAGAGGTAAGATTTTAAATTTGGGGACTAATAGTACACCAAGTACTCTCTTTGTATTTTAATACTTCCTCTAATTTTCTTTTGCAGACATATTGTACGACTTAATCTATATCCTTTCGGAAAAATTAACAAAAATAATTCAAACTATTGGCTCTCTTCTCATTTTACTCTCAAGTATCACCCATCATTCACCTAAAACCTTAGCCACTTTCATAGCCAACACCACCACTACCCCTATCTCCCTCTTCCATCAAACCACCATTTACCACCATGACACCGCCTCCGTCCTCATTGCCACACCACCACCACCTCATCAGCTCCCCTCCTCTCCCCTCCCAATTGCGGCACCCCACCACCCGCCTACCTCCACCCCTTGACCCCACATACATCCCCATTTGCATCTCCTCCTCCTTCGACGCCTTTCACTTCATCTAGTCTTCTCCTTCTCCGCCCTGTCCCCCCTCTCCCTGTTCCTCTTAGACATGACAAATGGGTAATTTTGATTGAGTCTAGGTCGGGTCACTTTCGGGTCAGCTAACATTTGGGTCCCAGTCGATTCGGGTTTTGGGTATGATTCGGATCAAGTATCGAGTTGAGTTTGGGTCGGGTATGTTCGGGTCAGGTCAATTTCGGGTCAAGTATGTTCAGGTCATATTTGGGTCGGGTCAAAATAGGCCGGGTGAAGTTCGAATTTTTTTTTTATATTTGTGGATCAAGCTCAAATCAATAATTTTATATGGAGTAAATATATTGTTATTGTTATAATAATAACTGTCAATTCGATTTATGAGATTGGCTACGGTTAAAGATGAACAATTTGAGTTATATTTGGCACAAGACATTTTTAGTTCAATTATAAGGTAATTTTAGTGCGACATTTCGGGTATCAGGTCTTTCGGGTCAAGTTCGAGTATCAGGTCAGGTCAACTTCGGATCGAGTTAATTCGGGTGTCGGGTCAACTCTATTTTCGGGTTGAGTAAATGTCTGGTCGGGTCATTTTCAGGTCAATGTTTTTGAATCATTTTTGGGTCATCGGGTCTTGGTAAGGAGTGCCAGGTCTAGGTGATAATAATTAAAATAAATAAATAAAAAATACTTGCCTAAAAAAAAAAAAACTTAATGGTTGTAGGTAAGAAAGATTAATTTGAGAGGGACCACTAATAGTTAGGATTTTATTCTGATTTAAAACTTAGGGCATGTTCACATTTACTGAATTTTAGTTCAATTCAAACTTCAATCAGTTTAGTTTAGTTCAGCTCCAATCAGTTCACTTCATGTCCTAATTTCCTTCTCTCATAAAATATTCATTCCATCTCAGTTCAATTCAGTTCCAATTAGTTCAGTTCAGTTTAGCTCCAATCAGTTCAGTTCAGTTCAGCACAGTTTAGTAAATGTGAACATGCCCTTAGTTGAGTTTATAATGAAAAGGAGTTTGTGTTTTGGATTATTCTTGTTAATTTTTCCTATCTTTTTTTTGTTTGTTTTTAACTTTTAACATATTTTTCACTTTTTTCTCTCATTAGTAGTCCCCTCATATCATATTTAAATATTTTTTCATATTTACTATCCACTCTAGCTTCTTATACCACTTTTGGGGTTTTCGCATTTTTTACTCTTCAAACAACCATTTTTCCATTATAAAATATTTTCTTATTAATTAATATAAGTCAGAATATGCAAATTCAAACAATTTGATGAATACTTAAAATGACCCTTCCAAAAAGAAAAAAAAAACAAAAAAAAAAAAAACAAAAAAAGGATACTTAAAATGAAATTTGCTAAAGCGAATCCAATTTCCAACCAAGTAAAAATATTTATTATTATTATTATTTGGTTTTGCTATATATAATAGCAAATGTTAAGCTAGTTGAACCACCTTGTAATCAAATTTGCAATAAAAAAGTATTTACACATGATATTTTATCAAACGCAAAAAACAACTCATAGTATTCATTGCAGTAACTCCAGTAAGTAGACAAGTAACTAAGTTTATTCACTAATAACTAATGTAAAAAGTAGACAACTAATGTATTCTCTTTGATCCAAGTTTATGATAAGAGGGGATTCAACTGCACATTTTGTATCATTTCGATCACTAGCAAAATAAGGGAAACTATCTTACAGTTAGTGAGACAAGTATTAACTTAACATATTATCTATACCAATATTAGACATGATAGAACAATAATCTAATAATATATTCAAAGTGTTTGAAAGACTAACATTGCAATAGCTTAACATATTATCTGCTATCATCTGTTTCATTTCATTAGCTTCTATCAACTACAGAAAATAAATCTACTAGTGATTAAATTGACATAATTCACATAGATCAAGCCTTTTATTCATCAATACCTAGAGATGAAAACAGTTGTACAAATTTGACACATACCCAAATCCAAATCGAAGGCAGCCTCTAAAGTTCTTTTTTTTTTTTTTTAAATCAGAAACTGGTGATTCAGATCAGTGCAAGGATTGAAAAATGCAAGTCATACGCTTAACAGAGCTATAGTTGAGCATGAATCGATCAAGAACGTAACGCATCACAATACAAGTTTCACAGATGAGCACACTTTATAAACTGATACTACACTGAGAATTCAGAACTAGGATTCTAACAATCTACTCACATAGCTCAACTTAATGCAGTAAATGACCTATTACCGGGAAACCTGGTTTCATTCCTGATGAGTACTGATCATATAGCTCAACCTACAGTCTGCTACACTTCATGCAGCCAACAATTGATGTAATTACATCAATTGCAAAACTATGCAGATTTGACACTTGTTATCTAAGTAATATAACTGCTTCAAGATAACATTAAAACAAGAAATTTGCTAAAACAAATCCAACTCATATGATCATATCTCCAGTAACCACATGACATTAATCAAACCAAGAAAACAACTCATTTATTGCAGCTCATGATAGCAATATTCAGGTAAACTGACTTATTATTCAAGCAAGACAAGTAGCTAAGTCTTATTTGCAGATTCGCATTATCATTTCTGATAAGGTTTACAACAGGATAACAACAATAACAAAGGTTTATATCAACACAATCAACAAATTTTCACAACATAAGTACTAACACAAACAGCTTATTTTTGACAATGCTTGTCTCAACCACACTAGCAACTAACTAATTTTCAGGCAGCAGTATGTACCAACACAAGCAACTAATTTTCACAATGTATGTACCAACACGAGCAACTAACTAATTCTCACAATGTATCTACCAACACGAGCAGCTAAGCTTCACAATGTATGTAATGTACCAACACGATCGAGCAACTAATTCTCCCAACGTATGTCACTTATTCTCTTCACCGGAGGTCGGATATTTGATTATTGCATGAGGTGGTAAAAGGCTTTGAACATAATTCACCGCTTTCACTTGGTCTTGAAAATTAACTTTGCTACATATTGGTGTATCGCAGCTGAAGTCAAGATACCGTAGCCCATCAAAATTGAAAATCATAACCTCTCTAGGCTTGGTAAGTCCAAAAAAATACCAATATGTAGATTCCATATCAGCACAAAACAACCTGATCCATGGTTTTTGCTCACCATATTCTTTCATCATCCACATCTCAACTACGCTTCCACCTTTAGAATAAGCCCAAGCACACAAGCAATCATTCAAACAACACAAACTAAAAGCAGAACGAATGATCAGTGCAGGTTCCCCAAAATCGGCATACGGCAAATTCATAAGCCTCAACTTCTTACTACCCAAATCAAAGCCAACAATGCATCTGAGATTCAATCCTATAGTAACACCCCAATGTAAAGCTTCATTCACAAGTGTTCCACTATGTTTAAACCAAACATCTTCAAGTACAATTGGTAGTCTTTGTTCCTCATTCGTTGACACTGCTTTT